CACCGAGTCAATAAATCACGCATCAATATATATGAATTTATATACGATTTATACACACGTATAGATCGAACTGATGCTCACAATATCCAAACTCAGATATATAACTGAGGTAAATGATAAAAAAGAAAAAAGTGTGAAGCGAAACATATAAACACGCTGCATTATTTTTAATGTAACTTAATTTAAATTGGTTATAATTCGAAAATCACATGAAGCTGAACGAATCAAACGTAGGAAAAAGTAGGAAAACTGAAAAATTTGCGTTTAAAATTTGCCAGAGGATCTGCGTGGTGAATCGAATTGTGGTTTGCTTATCGCGAAAAAATTTTAATATGTAGATATTAAGAAAATTTTAATAGTATATCAATCGTATCAAATGAGGAAATTGCAAGATATCCGCGATCATTTCCAATTATGATGCTGCATACAAATCACATCTTCCACGTGAACATTTTCTATAAAGACTCGACAGATCTGTGACAGATCGCGATTGCCAAGTAAATTATCTTAATGAGTTCCGAATGAAAACTGAACTGTTTCTTATATCCGAATTCTAAGATTGCGTTCAGAAATGTGCGGAATATTTCAGTAACAGTAAAGAGAGAGAGATAAAGAAATAGAAAAGAAGTTAAATAATTTTTTTTATGTTATCTCAAGTTTTATCACATCGATTTAGTCACTCTCTGAATCTACAAGATAAAATAAATCTTCTACTAACACGTGTGGGTAATTAAATCGTGAAAATAGAGCCTGATATGCAATTAATCGCAAGGTCATAGAAGAGTAACCGTTTTTTGTCATGTCGTACATGACAAAACACATGAGCGTTGCATCAATTGAATGTAATACATAATTATAACTGCGAATTGAGTAATAAGACACAAGAATTTTATTTTAATTTTATGCTTTTTCCATTGCGATGTCTCGAGTTTGTCAAAAGTGATTTGACAGTAAAATACAACGTTACTTTTGCATTTCGTTTTGTGGATTAAGCTTCCTACAAAAGGCCATTACCTAAGCTTAAAGTCTGAAACCATAAGAAATTGACTATAGCTAATTATAGTCGAATATGAGAAGAATAATATCGACTATAATTAATTACCAATTGGTGAATTGTTTAAGACATAAAGCTTAGATAATGGCTTTCCCAAGACGGAATTATGTTTCTACACACGCACGCACGCACGCCTATATTTCTATATTTCTATCAGATCTACGCGCGCAGGTTACCTCTGGGTATGCGCGTTGTCTGAAATCAAACGGGACAACGGTATTGGCTGTCCGATCGCTATATCGTCAGCCAGTATACGCCGATACGCGGCCGTGACAATCAAAAGACGCGGAAAGAAGCGTAGCAGCGGCGATTAGTCAGACCAGTCAGACCAGTCAGACCGCGATCCACGTCGGCGTCGGTTGATACCGTGCAGTTTGTGTACACTCTTGAGAATCTCCTGAACGTCGCGAACTTTCTTACATGCCGAACAATATGAAAGACACAATGGACGAGAATCAAGGTATGTCTTGAAGCGTAAAATAAAAAATTAGTAAACAATTCAACGAAATTCGACGTGTAGAGAATCCGGAGTCGTCCGAAAAATTTTTCGAGAACATTTCGAGGCTGCTGCAAATGGATCAAGTGTATACATGTGTATACATGTGAAATCGAAATTTATAATATAAATTAATATTAATATTTAATATAAATTTATAACATTCTTATATTTTTTATATTAAAATTACGAGATTTTTTTTTACTAAAATCGGGATCAAAGTTTATTTAGTTTCTACTTGGAATGAACACAGCTGTTGCTCGCGACAATGCAGCGTCAACAAAATAACACAGCAGTCAGAATTCGCATAATTAATGCGCTACAGGAATTAATTCCGCGATGAATAACTTGATTTCCAAAAAAAGAAAAAAAGATCTAGATTCGATTTGAAATGATGTCATTGGTTACAGATGACAAGCACTGCGCGTTTTGTAGTCGCACGATTTTCGTTGCTATTTATACATATACATACAGTATATATTGTATTCTCTGAACAGTCTGAACGGTCCATAGCGCATCATGTGGAAACACGTTGTCTCACCCGCGCCGGGTAACAATTAATGCAATACACTGCATGACGCACAATCGGCGTACGCCCTTTTTTGCGTGTCTTGTGTGCCACGTGCACGTGTGAGGCATTCTATTTTTGTGCTCCGCGAATTTTCGATGTGAAATCCGAGCGCCAGCACGACTGCATCTCTCTCTCTCTCTCTCTCTCTCTCTCTCTCTCTCTGTATTCGGCTGACGGCTCTCCGCGGTATCTCCGTACATGACATAATCAAAAAAATACATTCCGCTGTATTAATCGTTAAATATAATATATTCTACCTATGTAGAACTCTATGGAATATACCTCAGACTATATAGGTATATATTCGTCTGTCGAGCATTGCAGACGGAAAGAGATGAAAGAGAAAGCTAAACTATAAGAGAGAGAGACAGCGATGACCAAGCTAAACTGTAAAGCAGAAAGAGATGAGATATAAAAGCCGCAGCTAGGCAGAGATTTAGTCAAAGTGTAGGCATTAAATAACAGCGTGGAGCAATTTCGATGTGTCAAACATTTATTCAACAGTAAATTAATTTACTTAAAAAAGGAAAAGAAAATATGAACTTTGAACATACATACATATAGGTATAAAGACGCAAGTCTCGCCTCCTCTCTCTAACAACCTCTTATTATTGTAACGGAATAACCACACTTATTCAGTTTCTAAAAATGTGGGATTCGAGGTGTTCGAATTGAGTTTAGAAGATGTATAAAATGCAACTGCGGCGTAATTGACAATTGTAAAAAACTGTAAACATTGTTGACATGTTTTTCATATAATATCACATTTACATGCGATTAAGTGTTGAATAAGAATCAAGAATTCCATAGTCACGCTTTGTTGAACCACACCAACGGTATACGCGTTTGCATATAGCCGTGCAAGAACGCAAAAGTGCGACGCGACGTATAGGGTGCTCGGGAAAACAAAGTTTTTCTTAAATTAAACTCATTTCTTTCTATTTTCGCTCATAAATTATACATTTCTTTTTACGTTTATGTCAGCAGCTGATATGTGATTAGAATTTGAATATAATAAAGAAAGCGACGAGAAATCATAGAGAATTAAGAGAATCCTGTCCAAAAGAAGGGAAAAAAGAATAAATTTGAGAAGAATATTCAAGAATATTCAAGGAATATTCTTTCTAGGAAATGTAGATAATTCATTAATGGTAAATTACTTTTCGATCATTCTTCCACTTTCCATAAATTTCTATAATCAATTTTACATTGAAAGCGCAAAGGATAACAGCAGATAAGAAAAACATGAGCACAAAACTTAAGCTTTCGATTCCGGACACTCTCTATACTCGTATGTATATCGCTCGACCTTGCGCATGCTTCGTCTCTCGCTCGAGGATTCGTATATAAAATAGAGAAAGCAAAATGAAAAATATTCACGTTCACATCTGTAAATGTATCCCTGCGCGGAACTAAAAATTTACCTGCCAAGTATAATAAGTATTATTAAGTATTCTACGAGACTCGGAACTCATCGAGAATACGTGCGAATTGAAGATAGAATCAAAGTTCGCGCGACGAGCTAAGCATATTTGTTCTTGTAACTAAATATTTTATATTTTATCACCTTCTTTATCGCTTTCTTTCTCGCCGACAAGTGTGTAATTACTAATTAATTACATTTATCTTATTTTAATAGATTATGAACGGAATTAATTTTTTCTATATTATATGTTAAATGGAGAAATACAAAAAATTAATAATATTATCTATATTGATAAAATAGTATTGATAATTTAAAGCGTTTTCCATCAAGTGACATAATTGACACAGTGAATCATTTTATCCTTGTTGTGTTTACCAATGTTAAACAAAGATAAAATGATTCGCTGCGTTATGAAGCGACTACGTTTACATGGCACCGTAATAGAGTTTAACAACATATCCGTAATTATTATAAATACTATCTCGTAAAATGTCATATAAACGCTAAGTTAAATCTGACTTTGTGACAACTGATGGCGTTATTATATATATACTCGTAAAACTGCGTAGGTATTTAACTAGCGTTTATATACATTTTACGTAGCAGTGAAGAATGTTTTGGCTGTATAGTACATCAGCTAAAAGCAAAATCGGATAATACTTTTTTTTATTTAAATTAAGTTAAAGTTAACAACTTATATAAAATTAGTTAAAAGTTAAATGAACAAAAAACTGATGCTAAATTAAAGTTAAGATATATCGCATTAACACAAGTTAAATAAAAAGTTAGTTTTGAAAAATATTGTTTTTTATTAAATTAAAATATTTTAATTTTTCATAAAATCAGATTACTTTGAATATTACATAAAAACAATTGCAATATATAGATTATCAGATAAATTTAATACTTTATTTGTAAATTTTATGAAATAACAGCTATTTCTTGTACGATAAAAAATTTTATGTGTCTTGCGTTATGGAATACTTGACTAATTGCATTTATTTCGTATTCGTTTTTATTAAAAGGAATGTATAACATTCGCTACCTTTTCTATGCATTTGACGTATATTTTTTCTTTTTTAAAGAAGATTTTTTTACCGGTTCTATTTAATTTAATTTCCAAGGTCTACGACCTTGTGAAATTTGCAAATAAGTAAGTAGGTATTACAATAAAAGATGATTTAACGTAAAAGTTGTTAAGTTAAGAAAGACGAAAAATAAAAAATTTAATTCCTTTTAAACCCTGCAGTAATAGAATTGTGCTCGAATTTTACCCAATGAAATCTGAAGATACAAAAAGGATTCGTTACCATTCCTAACGAACGGGGGTTTGAATGACGCGGCGCTATACGAATTACGAACCCTAACCTGACGTGACAAATCACAAACCCGGTGCAACCTCACTGCAACGGTGAAGTTGGGTGGAGTCTGGCACCTCGAGTCTCGAGCCGTAAATGTTCTGTGAGCGAGTATCGCCAGTGGTGGTTCAGGTGGTTGGTGGTTGGAGGTATGCGCGTGCCATGAGGCCATGACGCCATGACGCGCGTCGATCTACTCCACCGTGAGAGATCACTATTCACTCCTCGTGTGGCGCGTTCCGCGCTTCCGACATGACGATAGGTAAGTTACGATAGCTGCTGATGATAGCCCCTACCTCCCTTCTTTCATTGCGGTTCTTTGGAGGAAAATTGTAATATCTTAGCTATCTATTAGCATCATCCACCATCAGCGCGTTCTCTCCAATTCTCTCCATCACGATCTTCGTGAAAGCAAACCGGCGATAAATATGACCGCTGTGTGCAATCTTGCACGCTCCGCATTTTCTGGATAATGGAACAGCGTTCGAATAAGGGATATAAGCAATCGTTTCCTTATGTTTGCAGAGACCGACGTGTCCGCGCTGTGCCTCGACGTGTCAAGAGTGAAATCGTTGCCCGGAGAATCGCGCAAGTCCGTAAGTTTTGCAATCATTGCTCTCCATAACACAGCTGCAGATGTCCTTTGACTTTTCTGTACAATAACGGAATAACGCAGTCAGTTATCTCTTGGCCCTTACTTGAAAACGGACTTTTTATTTTTCCGTTATAATTATAGCATTCTTTATTTATTTAATTCTGCGCGATTTAAATCATCTCTCGCAAATAAGTGAGGATCCGGTATCTGATTTAATTAATTGGCGAAAATCAAAGAATTTTTATTATTTATGAGAGAAACTTATGGAGATTCCACACAAAATCACTTGTATTTTAAAAGTATAGTACTTACGAGTATATATACATAAAATTGAGTCTAACTCGTCCGCAAAGATTTAATATATATTCTTTCACGCGTATGTTTATCAAAATAATTATCAATAATGACAATCGTATCGCTACCTGTGTATCGTTTGAGAGTGGTATAGATCTGATTTTCTCGCAAGCAAACGCTATTATTAATGGTATATATATGTATAATAATTATTACATATGCAAGCGTCTATTAAATGTAGCGCCTTTATGTGAAAAGAGATTTTTGTGTTTTGCAAAAATTTTGCCGCCAGATACTTGTCAATGCCAAGGCAATTTGTATTGTATCACTTTGTTCTTTTTACATTATATATAGCAAAGACTAGCATAGAATGAGTCAAAGTATTAAATATAAAGGTATATAAAATCAAAATATTATGGACAAATTAATATCAATGCAGCAGTATTATCAAGTCAAAAAAAAAGAAATTACATACAAATTAGCGATACAGTTATCTAATTTGTATATACATTGACGATTATTCCATTCAGTCCTAATTTTCTTAATTCATTCAAAGCGACGCATATCTCAATTATCACGTCATACCATTTTTATTTCTTCCAAAGTTGGGTAACTATTATAAATGTGCTTTTGTATTTAAATAAGCTATAATGAAAACTAGCACAAATAAGTAAGAAACAAATGTTTTTTTTTTTATTAAATTGAATTATTAGTATATACAATACCCCAAAGAGATGATATTTTATTTTTCAACTATTAAAATATTTTACAACATTTTTCGAAAGACTTGAAGAATTTATATGAATCTAGTAATACGTACCGTAAGGCTTTAAGCTTGTTTCAAGGATTGCGATTCACTTCACGCTGCAAATGCTTTGAAGCATTCTTTAATTGGTCAATTGGTAAAATTCTTTCTTCTGATTGGTCAACGAAATATTTGCAACGTTAAGTGGACACACCCTATTATAGTGTGCCTTGTATTGGAGCTGAGAATTATGTGATACGAGTATATGTATATTGAAATAAGTATAATTAAAATAATGATTTATGTAATATATTAACTTGAACACTTAGCTTACATGTATTGTCTGTTTTAGTTATTGTATGTTAAAATGAGTCAAATGTACACAAATTGGGGCCATCGCCGCTTGGAGGACTCGCTAATAGGGACAAAACGTATTTCTTATTTTTATCAAAAGTTATTAAGTATTAACATTTTTTAGATTAAGAATACATTATAAGAAAAGCAGATAAAATTAAAGCTACAATATTTAATAATTAATTTATTAATAAGCAATTCGGCTCAAAGGCACGCTATAATATAATAGGGATAATTACCCTAGTTTGTTTTCAGTTTTTAATCACCCGCAATGTACCATCATTAAAGATAATATGACTGTTTGGTTTTTCTATAAATATTTGTCTACTAATTTTTAATTTAATATCGTAATCTGGTGATGAGCTTTTTCTTTCAACCGTATGTATAATATTATTTGTAAATTATATAGTACTTTATAATATGTATTTTTCTGGTTGAAAAAATTAAGATTTTCTTGCCACTTTGATCTGTTATGATTTAAGAATTAATTTGAGAACACGATGTGAGGGCTATTATCCGTACGTTTCCTAAATGATTGAGATATGCTCTTTGTGTATCTCCCTGTATTAGCAAAATTATATGACAAAGTACAGTATTTGATATGATAAGCAAAATTTCCAAGGAAAATGCTGAGATTAAAGTATTAAAGATGTCTTTGATGTTAAAATGATGACAAATAACGTCAGCTTATCTATAGTAAGTATTGCTAATAAACGATCGCTTTGCTAACGTAATACTCATTATTTATATTGATGCATGTTTCTTTATGGTATCTCGAGCTGGAGATATATTTGTATCTATATTTATAGAAATATTATTAGAGTCGAAATATATTATATTTTTGATATAAATATGAATATGAATATCGCAATCCATAATTTGATGCGCATCAGTTGATAGAAAAATATGCCGAACGTGAGTGGTATTGTGTGTGTATGTATGTGTGCGTGCGTTGCGAATGCGTGCATGCCCTTAAGATAAAACGGTCAAAAGGTATATTTGTGCTCTACGATAAATTCATAATAATGCATGGTTGACTATCTGACCAGTTTACAGGTAATGCCTATGGTGTGTGGTTTTGTTGAATTTTATTCCATCATTCCGTCCTGGCTTTTCCATGTTATCACTGATTGATCTACGAGGGTGCAGAATACGCTTCATATTGTTTACGATGCTTAATTACGTGAGCGGTATGGTCTTCTGATTTTACATATCGTAAATTTTATTTTTTAAGAGATTGGTGAAACCCGTACATTATTTTAAAGATATCGCAGTGTCCGCTACTCAATTAATTTTGAAAATCGGAACTTGTATTTTTTCTCTCTTTTTTTCTTGCATCAGTAAAGCAAAAAAAAGAATAACTGAAAATATTTACTAGATTTATTAGGATCAACGTTACACCGATGTAATCCAGCCCTATACATTACATTCCCGATATTACAATATATAAAAATTACAATTCTTTATTAATGATTGTTTTGCAAAGCGGACGATATCTAAGAATTTCATTGTATAATTGATGACATGATATGAAATTATCAGAATCCATCTTCATACATCGCCATATTAAGACTCGTGCCAATAGATGCTGCAAGTAACGTTTGTAGATTACGTTACAACTTGTATTTGCATTAAAAGTATTATTTGCATTTGTTATGTGACTATACTGCTGAATAAAGAATAATGGTAGCTCATAAATATATATTAATCTGTAAGTTGTACTATCCATAAGAATTAACAAAGAAATTTTTCAAGTTATATCGCTCCTGTTACGCAAAATAAATCTTTATTATGCGTAATAAACAGTTCACCTTTCACTTAAAAGAAGAGAAAATTTTCTCACGATGTGACATAATTTCTAATGTGCGTAATTTCTTTTATATAGGAGTGTAACAATGCACACGATGCCGACCCTGGTGGATGGACCCCGTTGCTGGTATTGGGTGGTGCCACTTGCTGCTTGGGATCAACATTACCAGCAGGATATAACTTAGGTGTCATGAACAATCCTGCCCATGTTCGTAGAGTAGACCAATATGCGATTTCATCGAGCATAGTGTTACCTGAAACTATACTGTCGTATAATATTTGACTTACAGCTTATGCAATCGTTCTGTAATGATAGTATCAGGGAAAGGTATAACGTACAATTGTCCAGCCATGAGCTCCAGGTACTCTGGTCCGTCATAGTATCGGTCTTTCTTATCGGAGGTGTGTCTGGATCTTTAATCGCTAGCTGGTTGAGCGACAGATTCGGACGGAAAGGCGCGCTGAGCATTGGAAATGTTTGCGGGATTGTAGGAGCCGTTCTGTTCATGTTCGTACGAATCATGAACTCAGTCGAGCTTTTTCTGCTTGGCCGAGTGATTGTCGGTGAGTTAAAAAATCGTTAATTTAATCCGTGCCCGATTTAATCCGATTCCAATTAGGTATTTAATTAATACAAGAACACGTAGCGATAGAACTGTAATTGCACAACTTGGTAAGCTGATAAAAGCTGGTCAGCTTCCTTTTTTAAAACTTATCGTACTACAGTATTAACAATAAATTTTTGTGCCAAGTATATTGTGCAAAATATTTTAGGAAAAACTGTTGAAATATAACCGTTTTCTTACATCAAAAGAACGCAGAATATTCGGCACGATGTTATATTTACTTAAAAAATCATTTTCACTAAAAAGAATAAAACCGACTGGTTTTTGTACCTTTAGTTTGAAGGCACGTATAAAAGCCTTCATTTTTTAAATTTAATTAAAAAATTTTCATAACACGTAATGTAATGGTTCTAAATATATTCGTAGGACTTTCTGGTGGTCTAGCTACTTCTTTGGTCCCGATGTACATGACTGAAATAGCACCTTTAAAATTGAGAGGTGCCGTCGGGGTCTTATGTCAATTGGGTATCACCTGCGGCGTGCTGATGGGCCAAATTGCCGGGCTCGAAACTGTCCTGGGCACTCCTGAGTCCTGGCATATAATGTTAGCATCTTTCTCACCGCTATGCCTCGCTGCATTATTATTAACTGTACTGACTTTGCCAGAAAGTCCAAAGTATCTGTACATAATCAGAGGAGAACAAGGAAAGGCTCTTAAAGGTGTGTACGACTATCTTACAAACGGTCATCCGAGTGTATGATATAAACGAGAATCTATCAGTTTGCGTTTTAGCTCGTTCACTATTATTACTTTTATATCTTAAATTCGGATTGCTTTTAGAACTCAGCCGTTTGCGCAACATGGACATAATGCTCTTGCAAAACGAGATCGCTAGCTTGCAACAAGAATTAGCGACAAGATCGGCAAGTGAAACGTGGAGCATTAAACGCGTGTTGAGAGAGCCGACCGTGAGATTAGCTCTATTCTTAGTGTGCCTCCTGCAATTTGGTCAGCAACTTAGTGGCATTAACGCGGTTTTTTATTACTCAAACAGCATATTCCTCAGTGCTGGCCTGGGAATTGCCGGTGCTCAATATGCGACTATAGCCACTGGTGTTGCAAATATGGGGATGGCAGTGATTTCCGTGCTGGTAATGTCACTATTTGGTAGAAGAAAAGTATTGTTCCTGAGCTGTTATTTATGCATAGGATGCCTTCTCTTTCTGAAACTCTCTATCGCACTAATTGTAAGTATAAATAATTGTAATAATTTTGAATAGCATATTTTTACGATTTTATTATATTATAATTTCAATAATATATACATAAATATATATAAAGATTATTAAAAATAAACAGCTATATAAGTGAAAAAATTAGATCGATAACAATAAATCAAATAAGAGAAGAAAGAATCCTATTTTTGATCAAAGCGGATCTTGATTCTTAATGATGTTTATATTCGCAACAAGTTGTTTGCAGTGTTTTAAAGACGCTTATTAGCATCATTATTAAATTGGCGCTTAATGTAATTTGTGATGTTATTTTCAGCTTCAGTTTATGATTGCGTTTCAAATCTGACAAACTGAATCGGCGCGGTTTATAGAATTGAAAAATGTATTTGCAAATTTGCATATAATCGTTAATAAGCGCCACTTCAATCAAAAATAAGATTTTTCCTTTTATTTCATTTTTTAAATAATGCTGAATCTTAGTAAAAAGTGCGAATCTTCACAAAGCGATCTATACATTGCTGAATATACATCTTTTTACAGCACAAAGCCTCATTCATGTCATGGGTTTCCACTGTTTTGGTACTGGCGTACGTTATATCTTACGGTATCGGTCTCGGTCCTATACCATATTTCATTGGTTCCGAATTGTTCGATGTAGGTCCTAGGCCTTCCGCTATGTCGCTAGGCAGCATGTTTAATTGGGGAGGCAACTTCCTCGTCGGGATGATGTTCCCTTCGTTACAGGCTGCGATCGGCTCGTACGTCTTTCTGATCTTCGCTGGGTGCATACAGATCTTGGTGATAATCAATCAGTACGTAATATAATTTTATTACTATTATTCCACAGTCATGCATGATATAATAAACAATTCGCAACGTAATGTGAAACTGTAATGTTGTTACAGGACCTACTTGCCTGAAACGCGGGGCCGAAGCACGACCGAAATAGCAGCAGCTATGACTCAAGGCTTCAAATCAAAACCGAATGCAACATTCGCTGCGTAAACTGAGTGCTTGCAATTCGGCTAAATATACTTTTTATACGGTTTTTTAATGAAATCAACAAATCATTACCGTCACACGTTGCTCATACGCGAATGACAATTCGCGTGCTGTGCTGATATCTGATTCATGCAATAGCACATCGATGTAAAAAAAGGCTCTTCCTGGTGCAAGATTAATATATTCGAGCGAAATTCAGGAGTACTATGTGAGCGAATTTTATATACTATTGACTATTTGTATATATATTCTATCTTGTAAATATTCAATCAAAAAGTGTAGAATGATGTATACGCAAGGATGATTAGAGTACACGCGGCTAAGATTTTTTTACATTTATACAATATTTTAACGTACGTCCATAATTAAAAAAATTCTATCCACACTTGAGCGATCACTGCCAATTTGTAACATCAATTTATTCGAATAGAGATATGTAATATTTAATATTCAACATCCTTGAAAAATCTTACAAAAGTCTCGCTTTGCATACGTCTAGGAGGTATATAAATACACTGAAATATACATGTTTAATTTGTACACAAATTTGAAGCTAACATCAATCGGTTCGTGTTGTTAAATTATTGTACAGTTGATCTAGTTTTTCGTAAAACACTAAGCACAGAACCGTATGCGGCGCTATCCTCATCCACGTTGGGAACGTTCCTTTGTACAGGCCCGTCAGACCCTCAGTGCGGAATATCTTGACGAGTGCGTCTCCGAGTCCTTTGTACAGAGCACCTTTGCCGGCCGCGTCTGTTTCTGCGTATGGGTGCGTTTAAAACACTTTTAGCAGTTGGCGATTTTCAAAGATAGCAATAAACGCACTCTAAATAACATTTGCCTACTTTTACGAAATTTGCGCTATTAAAAGGTCTGGCGTTTAGGACGATATATCGAGTCTTCTATTTCTGAATGTTTTCTCTAATCGAATGTTCAACAGTACTCGCTGGAGAAACTTTATTCGACGAATCCTTTATGCAAATTATATTTATAGTCACGCGCATTAGGGTCGTATTTATAGTAGCACATATATTACATTATATTTATAGTCGCGTATACCGATTAATTAATATTAAACATTTTATCCTCACAAACAGTTTTATCGTAAGATATATCCCGAGCCGAACAAACGCGATGGAAAGTGATACTTTATTGGATAAGAATGAGTATGTTTTACATTTGTCCGCTATTCAACGTACGTGTAAATATATAAAATTTCGATTTTGTGCAAATGTTGATCGTTGTAAGTTTAGCGACACAATCGTGGCCTTCGGTAAATCGCGCGCGTTTAACGCAACAGACTTTACCACTTAAGTTTTCGTGCGATATACTCACGTTGATTGTACAACCGCGTTGCTAAGACATCGAACGGCTGCATGGTGATGGCTACGCAACTACCTCCGATCACGGAGGCCAAGAAGGTCAGCAATATTGGGCGATCTGGAAATATCTGAGAAAAATAAAGAACGCTCCGTCGCGTCGCGTTGCGTTGTATTGATGAGTATAATAATCCTCGAATCTCGCACTGAGATCTATTAGATATCACCGATCAGTGCTTTTAGACGTATTTAAGAAATTGAAATTGTTGTTGGGACTTTTTTTATATCTATTTTTGAAATCGCGCGACATGCATGATCGTCATTACGTTACCTTTGGCCGTTCGCCAGCAGTTGCCAGCAGAGGAAACTCGGGGGGTGGAAAAGGAGAAAAATATTTAGAAAACCGTGGAGAGACGGTCAAGTATTACTTACATTTAGTGAGCGCAACCAGTCCGATGCTAACCCAAAAGTAGTCAACTGCGTCGCCGAGCCGACGAATAAGCGCGGCATGTTGGCGTTCCATCCACGATATAAAGCCGCGATGCCGCCCTCCATCCACAAAGACTTGAAGGCATCCCACGATCCCGAGTGACTATGCTGGTAGCCCACGGCGATGGATTTCGCAGATTGCGCCTGTAATTGCGTCTTGACCTGTGGGATAATTGTATGATCCCCGATTAGCTGTGCTATCCGCGTGCGAAGAATAATTCCGACGCTCTTATTACTTGTAATATATATTTTTAGGCAGATATTTATATCTCTTGTATCTTATTAAATCAACTTTTGGTCCAAAGACATTTGATATATGTATATGTGTTCACTTGCGAGCAACTGTCGTTTTTTATTTTATTTTGTGTTTTTTTTTTGTTAATCTATTTCTGGTATTAATTTTATTTAAAACAAGCTTGCTGATCATCAAACAATTGTGGACGTCAAATATTCTTTTCGAATTTTGAAAATATTAAAGTTATCCCTAACAGAAGTGGGGAGTGTGTGTGTGTGTGTGTGTGTGTGTGTGTGTGTGTGTGTGTGTGTGTGTGTG